CTAGTAGAAATGAAAGACACCTGGTGCAGAGCAAAACTTTATGGCTTGATAAAGCTCAGCACAGAAGGAAACTTAATAACGTTTTGTTTCGTGGCTTTATACCATATAGGCCACGAGAGGGGAGGGTCTCCCATCCTAACACCGCACTCGATATTGTTAACGGTGTCCAATCGAGTTAGGATACGGCAACTTTGATTGAATCGAGTTAGGCGCACTTCAAAGGAATTAGTTAACGAGATAAACATAATTTTTTTTTCGCGTAGAGGCCCGTCTGGTTATTGATGGGGTTGCCCGCTAGCCTGGCTGATTGCAGACCACATTCTTCTTTTCAGTCTTACTTTCTCTGATGTTCGTTATATAAAATGCGCTTTACGTTACTATAAATTACTTTTTTTTTTTACTTTACGAAAATATACTCTTATTATTTTGACGAGTGAATGCTGGAAAAATCCTGTTAGTGATGCGTTCGTCATCACAGTGTTGGCTTACAGTGAAGGCTCTTCAGCAGAATGCTGAAGGGAGAAGGATTATAACGTACAGTACTCAAGAGGAATCGACAGCGCGATCGGAGACAGTGAAAGTTAGGAATCAAGAAGTACTTTTTGGTAACTAAAAAGTGAAACGATTTTGATAAGGGAGTGTTAGAGATAGACCCTAACCCAGGTTTAAGAATGATTATGATAGGGTTCACGAGGCTGGGAATTAGTGTGATAGAACTCACGAATACAGAAATTTAGTTTGTTAGGCTTTAAATAGTTCAGTCGAGGGGTTGGTCGTTGCTGAATTGTATCTGCCTTTGAATTGATGAAAGATGGAAGGATCGGGGTGTTACAAAGGGATGAAAGTACTAGGGATTAAAGAAATAAAAATTTGCCAAGATTCTTTCGGTAAACAAGATAACTCATTATTAAGATTGTGGTACTGTGAATTGAAGAAATATAAGTTATCAAGGGAGTAATATCAAACATTTATTTATTATCATGGCGATGGAAAAGAAACCAATTAAGAAACATTGCTCAAAGCTAATAACAAAAATAGTGAAAAGTCAAAGGTGAGTAGGGAAAAGTGAGAAGAAAAACTTTCTTAGCGGGTGCCATTATTATTATTATAATCAAGGAGGAAGCGCTAAACCCGGAGGATTATACAGCGCCTGGGGGGGATGTGGAAGGCATTCAGGCTTAATTCGGGGAACTGGAGCACAGATCCAATTCCCTAAATCAAGAGCCCCTCACCAACATCAAGAAACCTTCCTTGAGGGGGCGGGTACCATACAAATAATCTTAGAGCTAGAAACAACATCAAGGTGTTAACATTAATTACATATGCAGAGAACGTAGATATTGTCATTTCTGTGCCCATAGCCTCATTCTCCCTCCCTATGCTCATAACCTCTCCCTCTTTTTGTGATCATAGCCTCGTTCTCCCTCTCTCCTTGTGACCATAACCTTGTCCTCCGTCCCTCCCCATGACCATAGCCTCATTCTCACTCCTTGTGGATGTAAGCTCATTTTCTCTCTATTCTATTTCTATGACCATAACCCAATTTTCCCCTCTGCTTCCTCCCTCCCTATTGGTGTAACCTCATTCTGCCTCTGCTCTTTCCCTCCCTCTTTATCCCTCTTGATGTAACCTGTATAATATCCTCATCAGCACCCAGCACCAGTGAACACCAAAAGATAAGTTTATTTTTTTGGCTGGGTTGGGAAAGAGGGAAGAAGGGAGGGATCGACAGCAGATAAATGGGAAGGAAATAAAAAGGAGAGGCAGGGAGAGTGTGTTTGATCACTTACGAATATGGGCATGAAAATTATTGTATTTTACCACGGTTGACGTGTTGAGGAATTGTTAAATGTTGATGAAGATAAGGAAGCTGTGATTTCGTGTATAGGGCAAGGAGGAATAACATCTTGTAGGAGTGAGGAAGAGCCAGTTGTGAGTGTGGGGGAAGTTCGTGAGGCAGTAGGTAAAATGAAAGGGGGTAAGGCAGCCGGGATTGATGGGATAAAGATAGAAATGTTAAAGGCAGGTGGGGATATAGTTTTGGAGTGGTTGGTGAAATTATTTAATAAATGTATGGAAGAGGGTAAGGTACCTAGGGATTGGCAGAGAGCATGCATAGTTCCTTTGTATAAAGGCAAAGGGGACAAAAGAGAGTGCAAAAATTTATAGGGGGATAAGTCTGTTGAGTATACCTGGTAAAGTGTATGGTAGAGTTATTATTGAAAGAATTAAGAGTAAGACGGAGAATAGGATAGCAGATGAACAAGGAGGCTTTAGGAAAGGTTTCGGATGTTGGTGGACGGGTTTCGTGATTAAGGGAAGATTTTGATCTAGTGCTCAGTGGCAATTATGGATTTGAAGGCCTTGACAGGTCCACCGGGGCATGTGGAAATTTCGGGTTTAGCGGTTCCACTTGATTACAGGATAATAATAATAATTTAGGAAAGGTAGGGGATGTGTTGGACCAGTGTGTTACAGGAACATGTAAGTGAACACGTGTTTTTAATAAGGTTAAAGATGGTTTTGTAGGACATTTATGGATTTGGAAAAGGCGTATAACAGGTGGATAGGGGGGCAAGTTTTTTGGCAATGTGCTTGCAGGTGTATGGTGTAGGAGGTAGGTTACTGAATAGTGCAAAGAAAGAGTTAATTTACCAGGATAGTAAGGTCAAAAATTAGAGTGTGTAGGAAGTAGGGATATTATTATATTTGGTTCTTCCCAGGGTAAAAGTAGGGCCTTAGGACAAGGAGGTGATGAGTCACGTGAGGTTGTTTAATATATTTATAGATGGGGTTGTAAGAGAAGTAATTGCGAGGTCTTGGCAAGAGGCGTGGAGTTAAAAGATAAAGTCACACATAAAGTGGGAGTTGTCACAGTTGCTCTTTGCTGATGACACTGTGCTCTTGGGAGATTCTGAAGAGAAGTTGCAGAGATTGGTGGATGAATTTGGTAGGGTATGCAAAAGAAGAAAATTAAAAGTGAATACAGGAAAGAGTAAGGTTATGAGGATAACAAAAAGATTAGGTGATGAAAGATTGGATATCAGATTGGAGGGAGAGAGTATGGAGGAGGTGAATGTATTCAGATATTTGGGACTGGTCGTGTCAGCGGATGGGTGTAACAAAGATGAGGTGAATCATAGAATTGATGAGGGGAAAAGGGTGAATGGTGCACTTAGGAGTCTGTGGAGACAAAGAACTTTGTCCTTGGAGGCAAAGAGGGGAATGTATGAGAGTATAGTTTTACCAACGCTCTTATATGGGTGTGAAGCATGGGTGATGAATGTTGCAGCGAGGAGAAGGCTGGAGGCAGTGGAGATGTCATGTCTGAGGGCAATGTGTGGTGTGAATATAATGCAGAGAATTTTGTAGTGACTTCAAGAGTGTATCAGTCTGTAGTGGAAGGAAGGCGGGGTAGGGGTCGGCCTAGGAAAGGTTGGAGGGAGGGGGTAAAGGAGGTTTTGTGTGCGAGGGGCTTGGACTTCCAGCAGGCATGCGTGAGCGTGTTTGATAGGAGTGAATGGAGACAAATGGTTTTTAATACTTCACGTGCTGTTGGAGTGTGAGCAAAGTAACATTTATGAAGGGGTTCAGGGAAACCGGCAGGCCGGACTTGAGTCCTGGAGATGGGAAGTACAGTGCCTGCACTCTGAAGGAGGGGTGTTAATGTTGCAGTTTAAAAACTGTAGTGTAAAGCACCCCTCTGGCAAGACAGTGATGGAGTGAATGATGGTGAAAGTTTTTCTTTTTCGGGCCACCCTGCCTTGGTGGGAATCGGCCAGTGTGGTAATAAAAAAAATTATATATATATATAATATATATATATATATATATATAATAAATTATATATATATATATAATATATATTTAAATATATATATATATATATTATATATATATATATATATATATATATATATATATATATATATATTAAATATATATTGTCGTGCCGAATAGGCAGAACTTGCGATCTTGGCTTAAATAGCAACGCTCATCTTGCCATAAAGGACAAGCGAAAATTTGTGTTTGCAATAATTTCGCCAAAATCATACTGAACCTAACGTAAAAAAATATATTTCACTGTGTTTGCTTAGTATTAAATTATTGTAAACAAATCTAAAATATATATAGTAGGGTTAGGCTAAAATAAATTGTTCTTGTTATAGAAGGTTAGGTAAGTTTTCTAAGATTCTTTTGGTGCAAAATTAAAAAATTTTTCATTAACATCAATGAAAAAAATATATATTTAAACGTATAAGAGAAAATTTTAGAAAGGACTTAATTTTAAATGAGTTCTTACTAATTGACCAGTTTTACATATTCGGCGACATTTTGATATAATATATATATATATTATATATAATATAATTATATTATATATTATTATATATATATATATATTAGTATATATATATATATATATATATATATTATATATATATATATATATATATATATATATTTTATATATTTACCACATGTGGGTTGTTTTTCGTATTCTACATCAAACTTGATATTCTGTATGTATCCTTATTATATTTCGTGTGTTGGTTTTTTAGTTTTGTGTTTGTTGTGTGTGTGTGTTTATATATATATATATTATATATATATATATATATATATATATATATATATTATATATATATATATATATATATATATATATATTATTATATTATATTATATATTATATATATTATAATAATATTTATATATATTATATATAATTTATATATATTATATATTATATATATATATTATTATATAATATATATTGTATATTAAATTCATTATATATTATATTTATTTATAATAGCTATATAAGATTCATTGTATGATTAGAATATGATTATATATATGATAATATACTAATTAACTTTATCCATCCATATTTCTAATTCAGTTTAAAGCTCAGTTTGTATTAGTATTATGGTATATTATAGTAATGATGTTAGGCATCGTGTGAGGTTTGAGCCTAGACGTTGTGGCACTGCATCATGTTGAGGGAGCCTCCAGTCCTGAGAGTTCCACGCCCGAAACGTAGGTAGGGAGGTAGGTCTCGTTTGGAGGATGGGGGTGGGGGTTTTGGAACCCATATCCCAAATGCAGGTAGAAGACGTCTTGTGGAGCGTTTTGCCTAATTTTCCACTTGACGGGGTATTATTATATAGGGTTTCCTACAGTTTCTGCCGTTTTAGGGTTGATGGATAGGATTTCTTTTTCGGGGGAGTACAGGTGTGGAAATGGGTGTGTATATAGAGAGGTGGAAACTCAACTGGAGGTAAATGGGAATTATGAATAAGAAACATTTGCTTCTATTGGGTATCAGTTGCTGAATTGTTTCCCCTGCATAATATGCATCTTCAGCCAAATACAGTCGAATGTAATAATTTTGACGTGATCAGTCCGTCAGCCTTAGTAGGTGGTGGTCAGTCCCTCAGTGGAAAAGGGAGGCCTTGATGCTAGTGAAGGGTTCTTGATCCTAATAGTCGGAGATGCCCTCCCCATCAGACCTTACATCATTTATTCCATTGAATCAATAATGGGGAGAGTGGAAAGCGAGAGAGAGTAGAATCGAACCTATGTGTATTCTTCTACAGCCAAGTGGCAAGCGAATGGGACGCTGGATGATTAGGTGGGAGGTTAGGCACCAGACATAAATAGTGTTGACACGGCAACCATGTCAATACACCAGAAACTGTTGTACCTGCTGACACTCAACCAGAGATCATGTTAGTCACATCTCTCCCCTCCCCCGTATTCATTCATTCTCTCTCTCTCTCTCTCTCTCTCTCTCTCTCTCTCTCTCTCTCTCTCTCTCTCTCTCTCTCTCTCATGAGACACTAATCATGCATGTAGCTCTCAGATACGTTAATGGAGGAGCGTGTTTCCTGGTACAAGATGTTCCTGCTTGTTACATGGTTACTAAGGCTGTGAGTATCAGTATGTACTAGAAATGGTACCTCCCTATTAGTATATGTATGAATGTGTGTGTGGTCTCGCCTATTTGTGGTTGTAGGGGTCGATTCACAGTTCCTGGCCCCCGCCTCTTCCCTACTAGGTCATATCTCTCCCTGCCCTATGAGCTTTATCGTATCTTTTCTTAAAACTATGTGTGGATCCTGCCTCCACTACGTCACTCCAGATTGTTCCACTTCCTGACAACTCTATAACTGAAGAAATACTTCCTAACATCCCTGTGATTCATTTCTGTTTTCAACTTCCAGTTGTGACCTTGTTGCTGTGTCCCATCTCTGAAACATCCTGTCCCTATTCACCTTGTCAGTTCTCCTCAGTATTGACAAGGTGTGTGTGTACTCACCTAATTGTGGTTGCAGGGATCGATTCATGGCTCCTGGCCTCGCCTCTGTGTGTGTGTGTTTACCTGCATAACACAATGCGTCATTTTTTATCACTGCACGAACTCCCTCACTTTGTATGGACGTTCTTACAAGGTGGGATCAAATCTAATTACCCTCATTTCCCCAAGCGCCGTATAATCCTCTACGATATTAAGAGCTTCATACGAATTCAATGATTCTTTCCGTAGTGACGGCAGTGGAGGTGGAGGCGAGAGCCTAGTGAGCCTCGGGGCTCAACGAAGCACACGGAGGTTCGCCCACCTCCTGTACACCCTCGCTCAAGCCTACCGTCACGTCGCTAGCGGTACCTACGCCACCAGGAGGTGAGTTAGGTGCTCCTAGGCCTATCATCCTAGGCCAGGAGGAGGTAAGTAAGTTACACTCCCGTCTACGAAGATATTACTAGGGTACCTACCTCACCAAGACTATTCTCCCCAGCTTCTCCACTACATTTCTCCCCACCAAGATCAACCAGGGTGTGATGCCCGTATAGGCGTGTGGGCCGCTGGCACCAACAGCCCGGTTGTCCAAGCAATCGATAGCAAAATCTGGTCTTACATCAACAGCAGGACTCACCAAGCCGGTCACCAACACACCTCTGCCAAAAGTATTTAAGGTTTTTAAATTCCACTTCACTACCTGCAGTGCTCCTACGGGTTTAGCGCTTCCCCAGTTAGCATAATTTATGTTAGAATAATATATGTTAGCATAATTTATGTTAGAATTTTTTAACTTGTATAATTTGTTCACTGATGCAGTTTGTTAACTAGTATAATTTGTTAACTAAAATCATTTATTATAATTTGTTAACCTGTTTAACTAGTATAATTTGTGTTGATTCATGAAGTACCACGTATGGAACTTTTGTTCAGTTGAAGGCTAGTAAACTGTGAACTAATACAATATCACCCTGTGAACTTTTTGTTCAGTAGAACATCATGAAACAATGAACTGATGCAATAATACCCACTGAACATTTAACCAGTGGTGTCCTACCCACCCAAACTCTGAGTCAATAAAACTTTTAGCCAGTGGTATCCTACCTACCCAAACTCTGAATCAATAAAACTTCAGATATCAGCTTTGTGTGTGTGTGTGTGTAGTGGGTGTGTGTTGTACAGAGTGATGGTGGTGTTTGCGTGTGTGTAAGTAGTTGGTTGTGTGTGTGTGTGTAGTGATGTAACGACAGTACTCCTAGACTGCACACAGTAAAAAGAGGAGACCTTGAGGAAGGGTTAGACCGAGTGTCTGTTTGAGATGAGTGAAGTAATGAGGAGAATAATGAGAGGACAGCAACTTTCAAGACCTGTCAGAACTGATCACGCATGTCCACCACATGTCTTCTCGAATTTAATCCTCCAATTCATACCATGACACCGATATGGATCACAGCCCAACATGAGTATACATCCTGGTTGGCCAACGCACTGCCTAAACCTCCTCAAGAAATCTTGCGTGAGTTACACAGATTCTCATACACACATCTATAGTTTCCAAGTTATGGCTGCAACTCTTAGAAAGCACGACTACTCTAGTGTGACATCAAGCCTGTAGACGGATGTAGGCCCATAGAGTTCAGCACTCTTATTTGGACCCGCACATATTAAAGCACTAGCAGGGTGGATAAGTACAAGGTACAGGGCAGTTGTTCCAGCGCTTAGGGACAGCCATGAGACAGATTAGGAAATTGAGATTAAGAGCAGAACATGATACGATACTGCGTGGTAGTTCTCTCGTCAGTCGATAAGCAGATGTCAGGAGTGGGACTAAGCTAGAAAATGAGTTAAAATGGAAGGAGAAAAAGAGTTGTGAGGTAAGTGGAGATGTATTACAGTAAATAGAAGGCAGGGATGCGGTTGACCAGAGTGTAGAGGAGAACCATACTTTTCTAATTTGATAAACCAGACGAGAACAAGACTATACAACCGAAGCGGCCAGGAGCTAGACACGACCACCGCAACCACAACAATACATAGGTATACACACACACAACACACACACACCACACACACACACACACACACACACACACAACACAACACACACACTTTAATCTTCTACTGGCTCATACTAGTCTTGTACTTTGGCACTGAATACTTTTCACCTAAATTCCTGCACGGTAGAGAAATCTGCTTAGTTTGTTGTTACATTTAAAGTCCATCGTGTACTTGAGGATCATTAAGCCCCAAAAATAGTGATTAAAAAGGTTTATCTAGGATATATACTAAAGTATACATTGTAGTATATATTCTAGTAGCCTGTGTTTATATGCAGTCTACTCTCCTGAGTATATTTTTTTTAAGTTAGTGCTACTTTGTTGAGACATTATTATTATTATTATTATTATTATTATTATTATTATTATTATTATTATTATTATTATTATTATTATTATACTGTATTCGTTTCCAAATTGTTGGTTGTGAACTTTTCAAGCAGCGATATTGTGAATTTTGTTCTTTAGTTCATTATTACTACCGTCACTTTGAGATATGAGCGTGAAACGGAAGCCTATCACAAGAATTATTAGTCTGTCAGAGCTAGTCTTCTCTTACTCGTGAACACCTAAAATGATAAGTAAAATTAACGAACTTTTAAAGTTTCATTCATTCTATGCTTATCTTTACTTTCCTGTCTGTTCCTAATTAGTTCATATATTTGCTTTTCCATTTAGGTGGCCTGGTCTTAAACCGGGCCGCGGGGCCGATGATCCCCGTGAAAGCTTGGTTTGGAACCTGTGAGTGTGTGCTCCCCTTGCTTTCTCAGGGACGTGTACTACCAGTGTGTGTGGTTGTATGGTACTCAGGCAGGGCTGGATCGTTCAGCCGAAGACCTGGTCAGGATGCTGGGTGTTCCTCGTAGTGGTCTCCACCTGACTATCACTGGTAAGGGCCTCGTTGCTGGAGCCCTCACTTACACTACCTGCGACGGTACCATCGTCAATGTCAGCCAGGCACAGAACGGTATGTGTCCATGTCTAATTTCTTTCGTTTCTACTTCCGTTATGTCTGCTCTCATTGCATCTACGTCTATTTCCACTATATCTACTCCCATTGTTTCTGCACGTTACGTCTGTGTTTATTTCCAGTATGTCTTCTAACATTACGTCTACATCTATTTCTGCTATGTCTACTCCCATTGTTGACGCACATTACGTCTTTGTTTACTTCCATTTTGTCTGCTCCCATTATGTCTTCCCTATTATATATACTTTCATTCTGAATGCGGAAATCCCTGGTCGTTTACCATGTTTTTGGGTCACGTTCGGCAAGGAATTATTTATTCTTGCAACTACCAAAATTTTTCATCATTAGAACCTTACAGCAACATCAAGAACCTCATGAGGTCCACCAACCACATACTAAACGACGTCATTGCAGATGTCATTCTGTATGGAATTTTTGACAAGAAATACATAGGGAAAACCTCCCGGGACTTCCACTTGTATACAATAAAAACAGAAGACGGCTTCACTTTCAGCCCCAAATAAAGAGTACTCAGTTGCTTTCTCATTCATATGGGTTTGTGTGTGCTGTTGACAATTGCTTATTACGCTAGTGTGTCACCCTATTACACTGCCACGCGTCTGGTTACTGGGTATGATTGATTCCTAATAATAATAATAATAATTTGTCATTGGAAGCAGGTATGCTTGTCCCTGAGAGCGTGGAGGGGATGACGGGAGTGGTATCCGACGCCAGATACATCCTAGTAGTCGAGAAGGATGCCACTTTCCAGCGTCTAGTGGAGGCCCAGGTACACCGGTCCTATGGTCCATCTATCATCATCACGGTGAGTAAAACACACACACACACATACACAGCTTCCAGTGCGCAGATACAATTTCACTTGTATAACCTTTCCTCCTTGCCTTTCCCGTACTTTCAACTAGTTTACCGTATATTAGAAAATTTCTTTCAACCTTTCCGCCATCTGACCAGGGTAAGGGATACCCCGACGTATCGACACGGCAGCTGGTACACCGTCTGTGGTCCGTGTTGAGAGTACCAGTACTGGCCCTCACAGATGCTGACCCGTATGGCCTACACATCGCTGCTCTCTACAAGTTTGGTGCTTGGTTGGTAGTTTTCACTTTTTCGCTTAGAAAAATTAGGTAGATTGTCAAATTATTATTATTAATATTAAATATTGATGTTCTTAGTAATAATAATAACCAATAAAATTATTATTACTATTGTTATTAAATATTTATGTTCTTAATAATTAAAATTATAATATTTTTATCCTTATAATATTATTAGTCAATAGGAGCGATAAACCCGTATGTCATACAACGCCTGGGGGAATAGAAGAGAGTAAGGCTCGTCCCAACGAACTGCAGGGTAGCTCCAATTTCTTGCATCAAGACCCTTCACTAGCATCATGATCCCCTTCCCTCCTTGAAGGTATGCCTGTTGTATCCCTTCAAGGAGGGTGCCTCAGTTCTTATGAAGGGCTCTCGATCCAAGAAATTGAAGCTACCCTCTTCCTAGGATCAAGGTTGATTATCTGCCCTGTATGACCTTTCTGGGTTCAGAGTTTCCATAATAATAATAATAATAATAATAATAATAATAATAATAATAATAATACAGTAATATTAATATAATAATTATTCAATAATATAATAATATAATAATATAATAATGGTGTGAATGTTAAAATTTAGAAGGTCGTTTGCAATGTGACGTCTGATCATTTCTGGCTATTGTTCTTTTTTCTTGGGTCACCCTACCTTGGTGGGGGATGGAGGACCAGTGTGTTGAAACAAGTAAATGTTGAGCAAATATAAAGGTGAGAGTAAAAAAAAAAGATTAAAAAAAGAAGAGGGGTAATTTACAAAGGAGAAAAGAACGGCAAATGATTTTCAAACATGCGAAGTGAAGGGGAAATAGTGTAGATGTAAAAAAAAGTCGAGAAATGAAAAGTTGAAATATAATGAGCCAACAAAGAAAGCACACGAATGCAGGAGACAGAGAAAGTTGGAAAGGCGGGGCCAGGAGGTGAGGTTCGACTCGTGCAATGACAAACGGGTCAACCCATGCACACGACACCAACGAGTGCATAAAAACAGGAGAATTAAGAGAGCGAAATAAAAGAAAGACAAAGGGAACGATAAAAGCGAGGGCATGGGGAAAATTGGAGAAGGTAGGGGAACAGAGATGGGAAAGAGGAGGAGGATAAACACGGGAAATTCTTGCGAAGTTCACACAAACAAGACAGGTGAGGCAGGCAGAGGGAAGAAACAAAAAATTGGGGAGAAAGGGAGAGGAAACCTAGGAGGAAGAGTGCGAAGGAACAGACGGAAGGATAAGATAGGTACATATATAGTAGGAGACGAAGGAGGGAATTAGAGAGGAAGGAGAGAGGAAACTAGGAAGGAGGTAGGGAGGGAGGAAGAGACGGAACAGACGGAAGGATGAAGGGAAGATCTGGACATGCACAATAGGAGACGAAAGAGGGAATTAGAGAGGAAGGAAAGAGAAAAGAAATAGGAGAAAAAGGAATCAGGAGATAATAGAAAAAAATGAGAGAAGGAGGATGTAATGGTGTAGACTTTGTCATGATAAATCATTATCTTTCGATACGAGCGGTGCGTGTCCTCTGCTGGACTAAGCGTTTTCCCATAATGTAATAATTTCATTGTAAAACCAAAGAAAAACAAATATATGCCCTTCATTGTTATTGCGCGAGATCATTAGGGCAGACCAGTGGCCTCTTCCTCCGGGTTGATAGCCAATACAAAGAGATTCATCTTAACGTTCCACATGACGTCGAAGCACAAACAGGCGCAGCATCCATCTTAATTGGCAAGATGTAGAGTCATCAAAGAGAGTATCGTGTTTGTTTTCAGTCTCTCTCTCTCTGATCATGTGATTCCCTTCCATGTTTACGTGTTTGTGTGCTGTTGTGGTTTAAAAAGTGATACTTCTATGCTTAGGCTAGTTTAGTTTCCTTAATATGCAGTTCAGCGTGATTGGTACCGATCAACTCCCTTCTAGGGCATTGGCTTGTTTCTGAAGGGAGCATGATCTAAGGGATTAGACGTACCATTCCACGAATCATGGATTATCCTAGATTAAATATTCATAACGCACTGTGTATACCCGTAACGTCCATATATACTCAAAATTATTGTGAAAATTTTAACTTATATTGGAAAACTATTTACGGATTTTTCTAAATATAAATTCTACTTGGTTACCTCTCATTCTCCAGACGCTGCATGACGCCCTACAGGTTTATCGCTTCCCCATAAATATAACAACTCAGGCAAGACAGCTGATGTTGTCTGTCTCACGAACACGTAAGATTACAGGCAAATCTTCTACCTACATGCAGTATACACTCACGCTAATTGTTTAATATACTGCATTCCTGTTTATAGAAATTGCTTTTGTTTTGTTTTCCTCTGTGCTTCCTAATTAATAGTTCAAGATCTATATTAGCGCTTCCTTTTGATTTTAATAATAAGCAAAATCACGTAATATTTCCTTTCTAACCTAGGAGGCTGGTCTGAGATCGGGCCCATAGGAAGGTAATCCCCAGACCCACTAACAGATAATAGGTCGATGTGACGTGCATAGCCCTACATAGTCCCGTTTTCAGTTGCATTCATTAAAATTATATGTACATTAGGATTATGCCTCCATTAGGATTATATTTACATTACGATGATGCTTATTTTAATTTTTATACGGTTATATATTTAACAAAATAAATTACACCAATTCCCAATCCCAAATAATAAATATATAAATGATGAAATAATTCTCGCTCCTTCCTCAGTGGTGCACTTATTCTAATTCATAAATGGTGCAATGATTCTCAATATCATTTATAAATGCTGAAATTATTCTAATTCTCACAACCAGATGGCGCAATTGTTCCCATTCTCATTCCCAAATGGCGAAACTGCACTCGTTCTCATTCCCAAATTTAGAGATTATTCCCATTCTCATCCCAGATGATGAAATAATTATCATCGTCGTTACCAAAATGTTGAAATTTTGATTCACAAATTTCAAATTGGCGACAACAGCTTTTAATGGAAAATTTACCATTGACATATTTAACCCGATATCTGGCCAATGGTATATTATTGTGTGCTGGTGGCTATATTACAGGCATGTGATAAGTTTATTATGTCGACCGTATTCCCTAACTCACATTTGATAATTATGTTTAAATGCAATTAATTATAAGCAAATTATCACTGTTAATTTTTAATGCGGGTAAAATTTGGTTATAATAACTATAATGGCTTAATAAATGGGTTTAATGTTTGTGTGTGTTACTCACCTAGTTGAGGTTGCGGTGGTCGAGTCCGAGCTCCTGGCCCCGCCTCTTCACTGATCGCTACTAGGTCACTCTCCCTGAACCGTGAGCTTTATCATACCTCTGCTTAAAGCTATATATGGATCCTGCTTCCACTACATCGCTTCCCAAACTGTTCCACTTACTGACTACTCTGTGGCTGAAGAAATACTTCCTAATATCCCTGTGATTCATCTGTGTCTTCAACTTCCAACTGTGTCCCCTTGTTACAGTGTCCAATCTCTGGAACATCCTGTCTTTGTCCACCTTGTCAATTCCTCTCAGTATTTTGTATGTCGTTATCATGTCCCCCCTATCTCTCCTGTCCTCCAGTGTCGTCAGGTTGATTTCCCTTAACCTCTCCTCGTAGGACATACCTCTTAGCTCTGGGACTAGTCTTGTTGCAAACCTTTGCACTTTCTCTAGTTTCTTTACGTGCTTGGCTAGGTGTGGGTTCCAAACTGGTGCCGCATACTCCAATATGGGCCTAACGTACACGGTGTACAGGGTCCTGAATGATTCCTTATTAAGATGTCGGAATGCTGTTCTGAGGTTTGCTAGGCGCCATATGCTGCAGCAGTTATTTGGTTGATGTGCGCTTCAGATGTGCCTGGTGTTATACTCACCCCAAGATCTTTTTCCTTGAGTGAGGTTTGTAGTCTCTGGCCCCCTAGACTGTACTCCGTCTGCGGTCTTCTTTGCCCTTCCCCAATCTTCATGACTTTGCACTTGGTGGGATTGAACTCCAGGAGCCAATTGCTGGACCAGGTCTGCAGCCTGTCCAGATCCCTTTGTAGTTCTGCCTGGTCTTCGATCGAGTGAATTCTTCTCATCAACTTCACGTCATCTGCAAACAGGGACGCCTCAGAGTCTATTCCTTCCTTCCTTCCGATGACTGACCCCTGTGGGACCCCGCTGGTCACAGGTGCCCACTCTGACACCTCGCCACGTGTGTGTATGTGTGTGTGTGTGTGCTCTCACCTAATTGTACTCACCTAATTGTGGTTGCAGGGGTCGAGACTCAGCTCCTGGCCCCGCCTCTTCAATGAACGCTACTAGGTCCTCTCTCTCCCTGTTTCCTGAGCTTTATCATACCTCGTCTTAAAGCTATGTATGGTTCCTGCCTCCACTACATCACTCGCCAGACTGTTCCACTTCCTGACCACTCTATGACTGAAGAAATACTTCCTAACATCATTGTGACTCATCTGCGTCTTCAGCTTCCAAGAGTGACTCCTCGTTTCTGTGTCCGCTCTCTGGAATATTTTGTGTGTGTGTACTCACCTAGTTGTACTTACCTAGTTGAGGTTGCAGGGGTTGAGACTCAGCTCCTGGCCCCGCCTCTTCACTGATCGCTACTAGGTCCTCTCACTCTCTGCTTCCTGAGCTTTGTCATACCTCTTCTTAAAACTATGTATAGTTCCTGCCTCCACTACTTCACTTGCTAGGCTATTCCACTTCCTGACGACTCTATGACTGAAGAAATACTTCCTAACGTCCCTGTGACTCGTCTGAGTCTTCAGCTTCCAGTTGTGACCCCTTGTTTCTGTGTCCCCTCTCTGGAACATCCTATCTCTGTCCACCTTGTCCATTCCCCGCAGTATCTTGTATGTCGTTATCATGTCTCCCCCGACCCTTCTGTCCTCCAGTGTCGTCAGTCCGATTTCCCTCAACCTTTCCTCGTACGACATTCCCCTGAGCTCTGGGACTTGCCTTGTTGCAAACCTTTGTACTTTCTCTAACTTCTTGGCGTGCTTGACCAGGTGTGGGTTCCAGACTGGTGCTGCATACTCCAGTATGGGCCTAACATACACAGTGTACAGTGTCTTGAACGATTCCTTATTAAGGTATCGGAACGCTATTCTCAGGTTTGCCAGGCGCCCGTATGCTTCAGCAGTTATTTGGTTGATGTGTGCCTCCGGTGACGTGTTCGTTGTTATGGTCACCCCAAGGTCTTTCTCCCTGAGTGAGGTCTGTAGTCTTTGTCCACCTAGCCTATACTCTGTCTGCGGTCTTCTTTGCCCCTCCCCAATCTTCATGACTTTGCATTTGGATGGGTTGAATTCGAGAAGCCAGTTTCTGGACCACATGTTCAGCCTGTCCAGGTCTCTTTGCAGTCCTGCCTCATCCTCATCCGATTTAATTCTTCTCATCAACTTCACATCATCTGCGAATAGGGACACTTCAGAGTCTATTCCTTCCATCATGTCGTTCACATATATCAAAAATAGCACTGGTCCTAGAACTGACTCCTGTGGGACCCCGCTCGTAACAGGCGCCCACTGTGATACCTCTTCACGTACCATGACTCGTTGTTGTTGTTGTTGTTGTTGTTGTGTGTGTGTGTGTGTGTGTGTGTGTGTGTGTGTGTGTGTTGTGTGTGTGTGTGTGTGTGTGTGTGTGTGTGTGTGTGTGTTGGTGTGTGTGTGCTCTCCTAATGGTAGTCGATTCATAGCTCCTGGCCCCGCTACTAGGTCCACCCCCTTTCCCATGAGCTTTATCGAACCTGTTCTTAAAGTTATGTATGGATCCTGCCTCCACTACATCACTCTCTAGATTGTTTCATTTACTGACAACTCTGTGACTGAAGAAATACTTCGTAACATCCCTATAACTCATCTGAGTTTTCAACTTTCAGTTGTGACCCCTAGTTGCTGTGTCCCATTTCTGAAACATTCCGTCTCTCTCAACCTTGTCAACTCCTCTCAATATTTTATACGTCGATATCATGTCCCCCTCTATTCCTCTTGTCCTCCAGTGTCGTCAGGTTGATCTCCCTTAACCTCTCCTCGAAGGGTATATTCCTTAGCTCCGGGACTAGTCTTGTTGCAAACCTTTGCACTTTCTCTAATTTCTTGAAGTGTATGACCAGATGTGGGTTCCATATTGGTGCTGCATACTCCAATATGGACCTGACGTACACAGTGTACAGTGTCTTAAATGAGTCCGTAGATGTTTGCCAGGTGCCCATATGCTGTAGCAGTTATTTGGCTGATGTGCTCCTTAGATGTGCTCGGTATAATGGTCACCCCAAGATCCTTTTCCTTGAGTGAAGTTTGCAGCCTTTCGCCTTCTAATTTGTACTCCGTCTGCGATCTTCTTTATCCGCCCCCAAACATCATGACTTTGCACTTGCTGGGGTCAAACAACGGGGGCCATTTGTTGGATCAGGCTTGTAGCTTGTCCAGATCTCCTTGCAGGCTTACCTGATTCTCATCCATTTGTATTCTTCTCATTAGCTTTACATCGTCTGCAAAAAGGGACGCCTCTGAATCTATCCCTTCTGTCATATCATTCACATATACTAGAAACAGCACCGGACCCAGGGCTGACCATTGTGGAACTTCACTTGACACATGCACGCTCTTTGACACCTCGTCACGTACCAGCACACGTTGTTTCTTTCTTGTCAGGTATTCCCTGATTCATTGCAGTACTTTCCGTGTACTGTCTGTCTGTCTGTCTGTCTGTCTGTCTGTCTCTCTCTCTCTCTCTCTCTCTCTCTCTCTCTCTCTTTCGGGGGGGGGGGGGTACAGTTTGACAATGAGCCTGATTTTAAGAGTGGTAGATGCTCTTACTTTGGGGGCTAAAATGTACATGTCATACTCTCCAAGTCATATTCTTAGTTTTATAATTTTCTTTTTCTTTTTAAAAATGCTTCTTGCTATTTTTTAATATTTATAACAGTGATCATCATATTTTAAAACAAACATTTACTTAAGGAACCGTTTGCAGCACTAAAACGCGTGTTAAAAGTAAATTATCTTTTGTATCAGTTTCCAGAAATGAAGATGAAGAAAATTATGATTTTTTGTTTCAAAAACTTTAATTTAGAGCAAAGGTACCAAATTTTATAGATTTTAAATTTTTGTTAAAAATTGTGAAAGATTTTCATGTACTGAAAAACAAGGGAAAAGTTTTTTCGTGCATGGGTTGTTGCTGCTGCTGCTGCTGCTGCAGTCTGCGATTAAAACCTAAACTCGCCAGGATATCACTTGGCGTCATCACCTTGCGTTGAAACGGTATTTGTAATGAGATAACAGCTTCCTTGGGCCGTCCTCTGTCTTAAAATTAATTTCCGTCAGGATATCACTTTCCGCTATGATTGTAATCTTTTTCTAACTTTTTGGCTTAGTTGCGGGAGGACGCTGGTTTGGCTGTCAGTAGCCTAGCCTGGCTCGGGGTATTGCCCACTGATCTGCGGGCCTTACAGCTCCCTGCCTACGCTCTCCTGCCACTAACGCCCACAGACCACGGCAAGCTGGCTTCTCTCGCCGCCCACCCCGCCCTCTCCAGGAGCCCAGGATGGCTTAGACAGGTAAGGAACTGACCTGTCGCCTGAAGAATTTCTGCCCTCTTTTCAAAGAAAAGTTAGCGGAATTTTTGAAAATTCTTAGAGGCTAGATAAATATATATTTTTTTATATTACATTAAGTTAATTATGGTGAAATATTCGTGGTGGTGGTTGTGATGGAGGTCGTTATGGCGGTAGTAATGGAGGTGGTGGTAGTTGTAATAGAGGTGGTTGTAATGGAGATAACCGATGTGGGATATCAAGGAAGTTAACTGATTTCAAAATTGAAAAGTTCGTATACAATTTTTCTGCATGACTTTAGTTAACTATTTTCTTTATATGTTGGGGCGATCTTCAGAAGATCTAAAATTCTCAGCTCTTTCCTCGTTCCTCTGTACCAGCGGAAAAAAAAATTACGTCAGTTTGAAAAGCAAAATAGTTCGAGCAGCCTATGGAATGTTATAGTAGATAGCTGACATTTTTTAGCTCCCTAACCTTTTCACGCAGGAATGTAAAAAAAAAAATTCCCTTTACACAACAGATTCAGGAGCAGCAAAACTCTGGCTTTAAAAAAAAATTCCCTTTACACAACAGATTCAGGAGCAGCAAAACTCTGGCTTTAAGGCGGAGATTCAGAGCCTGACCCACATCCGACCTGACTACCTCACTTCCGTCTACCTGCCTACCAAGCTCCGACAGGCAGGGTGGGTTCTCTGAACCCACTCTTGATGAAAGACACTCTTATCTTTCCCCTCAGGTAGAAGTCGACTCTTCAAATTCAAGAAATTTCGCTATTGGTAGAGAAAAACACCGCAGACAAAGAGTGGAATACGTGGCTTCTGCTGGTGTTTAGAAAGGTTGCCAGGACCAGTGTGCTTACGACTGCTTTTGCAGGCAGAGTGATATAGGGGAGAGGGAGGAAACGTTTGCAGTCAAAACCACAAAAAAAAAATACACATATAAATATTAAAGTTCCCCCTTTTAATGTTTATTTTTACTACTAGTGTGATACTGTGTATTTTCATTGTATGTGTGTACACACTTTTCTTTATTTTACTTTTGTTTTACACAAAATGATAATAAATTTCAGTTTTCTACACAGTAAATTTTAGTATTTTACACAAAAGTGTTTTCGATTTAATATTGGGCTCAGGATGTTTGGAAAGAGGGTTTTCATTTTATTCATTAAGGAATTTATTTCTCTACAAGGACACCATCTTGTGCTCTCGCTTCAAGACGAGGCTATTGTTAATCTTATATTCTCAACAACCTAAGTCATGCTATTATAATATGCTTCTAGAACTTGATAGACGTTACATGAAGGGCATAATAATTATGCTTGTAGAATATGAGAATATTATTTTGTACTTTATTTTTGTGGCTGTCGATAGATATTGTTGACAGTTTTCAATATATATAAGCATAAAAGTTTAGTTTGCTGAATACATCGTCGTTTTTATGAACGATTAAAAAATATCAAGACTGGTTTATTTCTCTACAAAGCAAATTCACCAAAGGTAATTTGTTTTCCCTCGGAATAATTAGTGTTGATAATTACTTGATAAAACTATGTATTTTTGTTCATGTATTTCATAAATGCTAAGTAAATATATGACTTCGTTTTACATATATCCTTATCTTGTATATTCTAGATAATTACAAAAGGACTCAGACAGGGTATATACACCAAGAGATGTATATCCTTCTCACTGTTATACACGAAGAGCTTACTTAAATTCCTATTTTATGGATGAAAGTATCTGACTTGCAGTGTTTAGGTTAAATGCAGCTTTAATTAGACTCGTATAGTCGATACGCTTTATACCCGATTAACTAACCAACTAAGAGACTATATATTTTGAGGGTTATATTTCTCGCGACCTTTCAAGGGGGGACTGATACCGGTGAAGGGTTCTTGATGCAATGAATTGCTACTCTGCCCTTAGATCAGTCCTGATTATCTTCCATTCCCCATTTGCTGTTTGACACCTACGAGTTTAGTGCTTCCCAGAAGCCGGTAAATAATTAACACACAGGAGAAAATTCTTGTAATTCGGTAAATTTTAGTTAAAATTTGCAAATATTTCTGGGGTCAGCGCCCCTGCTGCCCGGTCCATGACCAGGCCTCGCAGTGGATCACACTTCAAGGGAGGTTACTTGATGCCGATGAGGGCTCTTGATCTATGGAATTTGACCTGTGATCCAATTTCTTTAATCTACTGAATGCCTTCCATTCCCCTCAGGCGCTGTATGACCCCAATGGATTTAGCGCTTTCCCATATTGTAGAGAACTTTTGAAACCCAATTAACCAACTATCAACCTGTGCAATAACAAATTGCCATAATTTAATCACAAAATTTGTTTCCTAAACAACATTTTGCAATGGACAATTTAACAAAATCCTAATCATTATTTTCGACTATTGGTGGCGATTATGTAACGATACCGTCAATTTTGCTGGTAAAAAAACATGTATATACGCACAAGTAGCGTTATCAGGGCTGAAGAATCCTCTCCTGGCGAAATACTTTCTTAATAAATGTTTTGATCAATCTAATCGTGACTTTTAGTTACAATTTCAACTGTGTTGTAACTTTGAGGAGATAATTGAGTGTGTGCGTGTAGAGTGATCCAATGTTGGGCTGCTAGGATAAGACGCTCTACTCCCACACGATTTTCTCTCATGAATATTAAGCGATGTCTTCCCAGATCCTCATCCAGATTGTGTTTATCACCTAATGGGATCGTTTACCAATATTGGAAGCATCAGTGTCTCTTCCCCTTCCCCTCCCTCCCTTCCTCCCTAAGGGAAGGGGGACTTGGATATTGAAGGGTTGTTGATTTAAGGAATTAGTGGTAACATCAGTTTCTTCCTCTTTCCTAACTCCATTCTCTCCTATCTTCATCAAGGGGACGCCTTGATGCTGATGAAGTGCCTTTGATCTTTTCCGGGGATCAATTCTGATTACTTCCTATTATCCAGGCTCTGTTTGACCCCTACGAATTTAGTGCTTTCCCACAATAAAATAATAATAAAAACAATAATTGTCCTTTGCCTGTATATCCTGTTTCTACGAGTAGAGAGAGAGAGAGAGAGAGAGAGAGAGAGAGAGAGAGAGACTACAACTAAAACCAGGGCGGACAAAAAAAAAAAAAAAAAAGATAAAACTACGCCACACACACTCAATAAGACCTAAATTCTAACTTTATCGAGCATTTATTACCAAGCAAAACATTGATGTCAGGTACTTGAAGAAAAATCTTGTTTTGATTCTTCACCAGGCGTGCTTACAGTAACTCAGGATAACCCAATAAAGCCATGTCAGCTGACTGGCTTATTTACATTGCGGTTCTTTAATCCACTCCCCCAGGGTGCGACCCACACCAATCGGCTAGCAGCTAGGTACACTCTGCTAAGTGATCAGGGACGAGAGGTGTCAGAAAACATGCCCAGTGTTCCCCCTCGTCTGTGGATGACACTCCGGTCATTCAGTGTGTGAGCCACGAGCAAAGATGCTACAAAGACAACTTTCCGGACTAGGTTTGAGTTGATACAGCTCTTCATGTTATCTAAAACAAACCTTTGGCCTACCACGCCCTGCAAAACAAACTAGTATCATCATTAGTCCATCAACAAGTCTGTGGGGGAAAAAAAGTTTGTAATTAAGGCCTCAAAAAGGAAAGTTTTTGGGTGTTTCTGGCCCTGGAAACTTCGAATCATGAAAGCTTGACAATTCTCGGAGTTTCCGAATTCATATCTTCATTATATTTGCTCTCCTCCCGTGGCAAATATGAACAAGGTAACAATTTCGTGGTTGAAAACTGCTTGTTGCTGCAGAGACGGAGAGGTGTAGAAGCAGCGAACGTTGCTCTTAGTGTTTTGTATTAATATTATGTAGAAAGAGAGAGACAGAGGAGGCGTGAAATCTCTTCCGGGAGAATAAAACATAAACAATCGGACTCTGGCGCAGTTTAAGATTGATGTGCAGCTTAGCGAGCCGAGAATGGTCCCCGAGCACTGCACAAAGGAACCAGACCACTTCACTGGTGAGGACTCTACCTGGGGAACGGGTAGTCGACGAACGGGGTTGATTTACTTCGTCTGGGTATTCTTCCCAGTCGGGTTCTTTGACGTTCTATTGGAGTTTGAAAATGGTAATATCATTGATTCTGGAGAAACTGGTTACGAATGACAAGATTTTGTAGGTTGGAATTTCAAAACTTCTACTTTCTGAAACGGATGAGGAGGATGTTATGCTTGGAAGCTTCCCTTCCTCAAACCCAACCTTGTCTTAGACAAACTTACCCTTACCTCAGCCAAAACTAATCTTACCTTATCATAGTTAACCTAGCCCTTGCCAAACCTAACTTGCCTGTAGCCATAACAGACCTTCCCTTAGGTAATTCGGATTTAATAAATTTTGACTCCCCAACACCCCACATACTTCAACCCCAATTTTTCCCTCCTATGACCTAAAGCCTCTTCGCCCTGAATCACTTGTCTTCTTTCCATGCCCTAACAACTGGACTTTTGATTTTGCTGCTCTTCGAAAGCTCTTCTGAAAGCTTCTTCAGGAGGCAGGTCAGATAGGCTACAGACTACAGCTCCAGACATATTGGAAGGTGAAGTAGCAGCTATTTTTAACCGCCGTATGGTGGCTGCGTGTCTAAATTAACTATTCAGAGTATCAACAATGTATTATTTTGTATCTATTACCCCACAGCTCCCTTATCATCTTTTCCCTCGCCCCATAAACCTTGCGAGGGGAGGTCTGAGTGTGAACCTTAAATTTGTCCGCATTAGGCTGCAGATGCAGCTTTAATATTAAGACAATTTCCCGAACCTCATTCTGTCTTCCTCTCGTCCGAAGGATTTAGCAAAGTTTACCATGAAATCCCCTTCGCATCCACCCCATTTGTTCATTTTCGATTTTTTCCCATCCATGAGTGGTCACTCCGTACAAAGTTTTTGAGTTGCCATGGAGACTGGTAGGAACAAGATGATTTTTTTTGACTTTGTATATAAAAATTGAAAATTGGGTTCTGTTACGAGTGGGAAAATGGTCGTCTGACGTCCACACACACACACACACACACACACACAACACACACACACACACACACACACACACACACACACACACACACACACACACACACACACACACACACACACAGGGGAGGATGAGCCAGCAAGACTGGATCTTGTGTTCACCCTGGGCAGTTCAGACATTGAGGACATCACTTACGAGAGGCCCCTTGGAGCTAGCGATCACGTGGTTTTGAGTTTTGATTATATAGTAGAGTTACAAGTGGAGAAGGTAACAGGAACTGAAGGGGACAGGCCAAACTATAAAAGGGGTGCCTACACAGGTATGAGAAACTTCCTGCAGGAGGTTCAGTGGGACAGAGAAATGGTAGGAAAATCAGTAAACGAGATGATGGAATATGTGGTAACAAAGTGCAAGGAGGCAGAGGAAAGGTTTGTTCCCAAGGGAAACAGAAATAATAGGAAGACCAAAACGAGTCCTTGGTTTACCCGAAGGTGTAGGGAGGCAAAAACTAAGTGCAACAGAGAATGGAAAAGGTACAGGAGGCATAGGACCCAGGAAAACAAGAAGATTAGTAGAAGAGCCAGAAACGAGTATGCACAGATAAGGAGGGAGGCCCAGCGACAGTATGAAAACGACATAGCATCGAAAGTCAAATCTGACCCGAAACTGCTGTATAGCCACATTAGGAGGAAGACAACAGTCAAGGACCAGGTGATAAGGCTGAGGAAAGAAGGTGGAGAACTCACAAGAAACGATCAAGAGGCATGTGAGGAGCTCAACATGAGATTTAAGGAAGTATTTACAGTAGAGACAGGAAGGACTCTGGGGGAACAGACCAGATGGGGACACCAGCAAGGAATACACCAACAAGTGTTGGACGACATACATACAGATGAGGAGGAGGTGAAGAAATTGCTAAGGGACATCGATACCTCAAAGGCAATGGGACCGGACAACATCTCCCCGTGGGTCCTTAGAGAGGGAGCAGATATGTTGTGCGTGCCACTTACCACAATCTTCAACACGTCCCTGGAAACTGGGCAACTACCTGAGGTATGGAAGACGGCAAATGTAGTTCCCATTTTTAAAAAAAAGAGACAGAAAAGAGGCACTAAACTATAGACCTGTGTCATTGACGTGTATAGTATGCAAAGTTATGGTGAAGATTATCAGGAGGAGAGTAGTGGAGCACCTGGAACAGAACAAGAGTATAAATGCCAACCAGCACGGAGTTTTATGATAAAATAACAGAAGTAAGACACGAGAGAGAGAGGGGTGGGTTGATTGCATCTTCTTGGACTGCAAGAAGGCCTTTGACACAGTTCCTCACAAGAGATTAGTGCAGAAGCTAGAGCATCAGGCGCATATAACAGGAAGGGCACTGCAATGGATCAGAGAATACATGACAGGGAGGCAACAACGAGTCATGGTACGTAATGATGTATCACAGTGGGCACCTGTGACGAGCGGGGTCCCACAGGGGTCGGTCCTAGGACCAGTGCTATTTTTGGTATATGTGAGCGACATGATGGAAGGGTTAGGCTCAGA